GACAGGGCGGCGGTTACCAGGGTCAGACAGGACAGGGCGGCGGTTACCAGGGTCAGATAGGACAGGGCGGCGGTTACCAGGGTCAGACAGGACAGGGCGGCGGTTACCAGGGTCAGATAGGACAGGGCGGCGGTTACCAGGGTCAGACAGGACAGGGCGGCGGTTACCAGGGTCAGATAGGACAGGGCGGCGGTTACCAGGGTCAGATAGGACAGGGCGGTGATTACCAGGTTGGTGTTAATGCCGGAAACCAGCAGCTGGCCAACAACGTTCAGGATTACAATGGTCCCAGTATTACATATGGAGTCCAACCTGGAGGCCTTGATGCTTCCATACCCGCAGCATCCTATAACGGTCCCGCGATTTCATTTGGATCTGGCGGCCTGGGAAACGCACAGAACGCGGGTCTCTCGCCTCAGCCAGATTCATACCAGCAACTCGGCCAAGTCAATTCAGGCGCGAGTAATCTCGGACAGGGCCAATATCTCAGTGGCAGTGAATCCACGCCGCAGGTCTACGGTGGCATGAGCAGTTTCGGAGCCGGAAGGGCCGTCTCAGCGTTCGACAGGGTGACCGGCGGACAAGACGAGGGTTACATCAGAATGCATCATCGGTTCGGTCCGATAGATATGAATAAGGAACGGGGCGGTCTGCTGCCTTACGGACACACGCAGGAGGCGTCCGCCGGAACAGCGGGAGAACAAAAGCGTTCATTCATCGTGTTCCCGACGAGTTCGAAGGAGAGCATAGGTCTGCATGAAATCACTGATAACGGAGGACGGCAAGATGGAGGCCAGGCAAGGCTGGCCACTCTTGGACAGTCGGGTAACAACTTTGGTCAGACTGATAGCAGCTACGGTCAGGCAGGCAGCATCGCTGGACAGACAGGCAGCGGCTTTGGACAAGCAGGCAGCGGCTTTGGACAGACAGGCAGCGGCTTTGGACAGGCAGGCAGCGGCTTTGGACAGACAGGCAGCACCTTTGGACAGACTGATAGCAACTATGGTCAGACAGGCAGCGGCGCTGGACAAACAGGCAGTGGCTTTGGACAGACAGGCAGCGGCGTTGGACAGACAGGCAGCACATTTGGGCATACAGGCAGCGGCGTTAGACAGACAGGCAGCACATTTGGACAGACAGGCAGCAGCTTTGGACAGACTGATAACAACTATGGTCAGACAGGCAGCACTGCTGGACAGACAGGCAGCAACTATGGTCAGACAGGCAGAGGCGTCGGACAGACAGGCAGCGGCTTTGGTCAGACAGGCAGAGGCGTCGGACAGACAGGCAGCGGCTTTGGTCAGACAGGCAGCGGCGTTGGACAGACAGGCAGCGGCTTTGGACAGACAGGCAGCGGCGTTGGACAGACAGGCAGCGGCGCTGGACAGACAGGCAGCGGCTTTGGACAGGCAGGCAGCGGCTTTGGACAGACAGGCAGCGGCGCTGGACAGACAGGCAGCGGCTTTGGTCAGACAGGCAGCGGCTTTGGTCAAACAGGCAGCGGCTTTGGTCAAACAGGCAGCGGCTTTGGTCAAACAGGCAGCGGCTTTGGTCAAACAGGCAGCGGCTTTGGTCAAACAGGTGGCAACTACGGTCAGACTGGCAATGCTATAACGGTTCAAGCTAATCTGGGCAATTCTGGCGAGTCGTTGGCCGGCGGTGAGCCAGGCCGCGGCACGGTAGGCATCCCCGTCTACCCCGCCGGCGGCATCGGGGCAAACACGGGCGACGATGCTCGGCTGAGCATCGGTAGTCCAGATGACGGCCAGCAGGTCGAGGTTGTTCCAGGCTTCACTAGGCCCAGGCCGCCGCCAACGACGACACCCCCGTCGCGCAACTTCCAGCTGTTCAATCCGTTCACCTCGGCCACGCGGGGTCCCCGTCCCGATCGTGGTCAGTCCGGCCGTGGTCAGTCCGGCCGTGGTCAGTCCGGCCGTGGTCAGTCCGGCCGCGGGCAGTCCGGCCAAGGTCAGTCCGGCCGCGGGCAGTCCGGCCGTGGTCAGTCCGGCAGTGGTCAGTCCGGCCGTGGTCAGTCCGGCAGTGGTCAGTCCGGCCGCGGGCAGGGCTCGGGGACGGACGATTCGCAGCTGGTGTCCGTCGGTTTGGTGCCGAAGACACCGGATGCCGATGGCGGAAGGGGAACCATTTTCATCAACGGCGTCGAGAGACCCCCTGCGAGCGGATTAGCTGCCCTGGTCATTGGCGGCGATGCAGAATTCAAGGTGGAGAGCAGCGCCGAAGGAAAGCAAACTATAACCGGTGCGCAAATATGTAGCTTTATGTATTCTACATTAGCGTATGCATGCTTGTATTTAGGTCCTTCGCGTCTGCTTGTTCTATATTCGGGTTAGCGTTGCTGGATGAATCACTTACCAATACAAAAATAATAACTTAATAAATGAATAACATAATAATAAATATAAACTACTCTAACTATTATTTAAATATTAAAAATTGTTATATTATATATCACTACGTTCACGTAACACGAACAACTACGATTATCATAATTCGTCACGTGGACAAATCTTGTGTTTCTCCATAAACAAAACGTGATTTTTTTTTTTTTACTATTGTAAGTATTTTAAGGCTCAAATTATAATTACGACAGTTCTGAATGTTTTATGCAGACGCCGTTGTCACGTGCGACCGTGAAAGCAACACCATCACCGCCACCGTGACACTATCAAAGAACTTTGACGGACTCGTGTACGCCAAGGGCAACTTTAAGGTCGACCAGTGCAGGATTAGGGGTAACAACGGCCGCCAAGTGACGATATCGTTGCCGCTTGACGGTTGCGGCACAACCATTAAGAATGGCGTAAGTGTGTCTCGTGTGTCCGATAACCGTTCCGTCCGATTAACCCCGATTAACCTATTGCGGTGGGAATCGCGGTGCAGCGCACCCAAATACAGCGTGGGAAGCTGACGGCGTTAAACGCCACAGGCTAGCACGCAAGCTAACCCATTCCTCACGGATACAGGAGATTGACGCTGTTGGTCTTTTAAGGCAGTTGCAAATATAACATCGATCACTTTCGGAATTACAAACATGGTTGACCATCATGTGGAAACACGTCGACGAATCCGTTAGCTGTAGCGCAAGCTCAAAGTTTGTCTCCGACGGAAAGAATCACATGAATTGACGAAAGTAATAACGTAATTGTTTAAATTCGATAACAACATTGAAGAATTTATGCGTTATTCGCGTAATTTACATGAATTTTTATCACAAATCCAGTTACGCGCGTATATCTATTACAGTAAATAGCTAGGCCTAATCGACTCGCCCAACGCGTTACACAATTTGCGCAAAGGTGAAATACGAGCAATAGGCAGTATTTTAATACAAGACTGTGCTTCAGGTTTATATGTAACGTGTTTCAAATGCCCCCCGGTGAAACAGGTAGACGAATACGGTGGAACCGTGTCGTACAAGAACTCGATCGTGGTGATGAATGAGGCCGAGCTAGGAGTGATAGAGGAGTGGGACAAGGCGATCGCGCTGGCTTGCGACTTCGCCGGAGCAGTCGAGCAAACCGTCCGCTACGGATTTGGTGTACCGTGAGTAGCTCGCGTCTATTTCCTTCACGATATTTTTTATTAATGCACAATGTATAAATACGACTGGAATAAAACGTCGATATCAGGAGCTTATAGACATATTCAACTCGTACTCTCCTACATAATTATTACTTATTAGTCATGGCCTGTCCTGGATACGTATACCAAGCATATTTGCACAGACGCACTCGGGCGCGTATTGAAGAACACGCTCCTACACATGCTGAAAACTTGCTGTAATAATATAATGCCCACCAGTTAAGTCTGGCCAGTATTCGTACTAAATATTTACACAAGCTTTTAAATGACTCACCGTCAGCGCTTTTGACTACAACATCGCACGGCGTACTAGTAAGCCCTCTCGCACATTTCCTCTGCACACAATACTCACACATTATATCACATTTATTTCTATAGGTATCTTACGTATGGAGCTCATTGTAACCGATATACGTCCACTATAGATAATAACACATCGTTTGGAAGAATTCCAATTGGAAGAATTCCAAAGGTGAAAATTGAAAGTTCGCGCGAACCGCATTGATCGATACGCGTGTCTTTTGACGTTATGTAGGATGCTTCAGCTGCAGGAAGTGACGTCAGAGATGGGCGTACCCACGTGCTTCATGAGCGTGATCGAGGGAGAATCGCCCATCGGTACAGACGCCAGCGAGTTGAGAATAGGCGCGCTGGCGACGCTCGTCGTTACTCTCATGGATAGCGGTAATAAATACCAATGCAATCGATCTATCGATTGATTAATCAATAACTGATCGATATATCTATGAATAACCGACCGATGTATATCATCTACCGATCGACATCATCAGTTGGAACGTGTTATTGAGCAATTCCTCACCTCTTTTTACCGAATTCTGAGCTTGCGTAGATATGCAAGAAGCTTAGCAGAAATATTTGCTCATGTTACCGTCGTATATGTCCACAGAGCATTTCGACGTGTCTGTCTTTGATTGCTTCGCTCACGACGGAATGGGAATGAACCGCATTCAGCTCATCGACGAGAACGGGTAAATACAACAACTCTATCACGGAATTAAAAGGAAAAATCTCCCATTCTCTGTCTACTGTGACGTGACCAATCGTTCTATAGCTAAGCAGTGGGCAAGAAATCGCCCGTGTCCATCTCGCCATCTGTCGCCTGGTTTTGATACAGACTACGGCACATAGAAGATTGCAGACACCATCGTATCGTGCTGAATAAACAGTAGCTCGTCGACGTGTCTTGCTATTAACAAGATTCTACTGCGAATGTAGCCATTACTTATCATATATAAATCTCGAGCCGATCTGCTACTATTATATTTATTGATATTTATGTTATATACATGTTGTTGTTGTTTTTTTTCCATATAACTAGGTAATACTTCTTAACATTCTAACTAAGATTATCTATCTGATTATGGAGTTTACCAGTTATAACGGCAATAAGTATTTCCAAATAAGAAATTTAATGATGGCAAGTTAAATATCGTCATAAATATAATATATGAAATTAGTGGTTGATTGCTTTTATTCACCCCTGATTAAATATATGTTATCGGTAGTACATAATTACAGATAATATGATATGATGGATTTCATTATTAAAAATTATGCACGTTTCCTTGTAGATGCTCAGCTAATCGAAAGATTATAGGGCAGCAGGAGAAGAGAACAGACATTATCGATGACAGGACAATGGCATTCGCCAGGTAAGATTTAAGAGGTAGAAAGCAAGCACTCAAATAGCACAATATCACACAATAACTGATTGCTTACACCTAAATTGTGTACCCGATTGAATATAAAATTATCACTGGATGTTTTATCGTGAGAGACATGTCGTGGAGAGTTGTTGTGCGTAAATGGTAATTAATACATGGATAATCAAATCTGTTCACCCTCCGTATTTCACACACCGTGAATTTGATAAATTAGAGTGTCACCACGTGATTCACGTACGATTGAGTTCAGTGTTGAATATTGGAACCAGTGACGTAACCGTGCGCTTTATTTCAGGTTTAAGGCATTCAAGTTCCCTGACATCGAGAACGTATACTATGAGTGCCAATGCAGAATATGCTTCGACCAATGTCACCCTGTAAGTGTTCTGAGTACACGTGTCATGTACGCTAGGGTAGCTTTCATTAAAAATTATCATCATACGAAATATGGCTTCACAATATATGATTACAACTTTCTCGTCATGTTTTATACACAGAAACGTGCGCGCACGAACACGCACACGCACACACACATGCGCACACACACAAACGCGCGCGCACACACCCACGTACGCGCCCACACCCACGTGGTCGCGCACACACACTCACACATGCGTCGTACACACACACACACACACACACACACACACACACACACACACACACACATTCACACACACACACACACACAAACACAAAGACATGAACGGCCACGCACATGGCCGTACGCGCCCATATATCAGCGGGTAATAATGATGTAGTATACTATCGCCCGTATAGGTCTTCGCTATATGTCCGTACACCGATCGTCTCGTAATACTTTTCTCCAGTTTCTCATCACTCCATATCAGACGTGCCCACGTCCGCGAGAGAGATGCTATCAGAATCCATATCCGTTCGCGGGTATCATCTCGGTGGTTTTCTCAAGCCGGAGGCAGGCGATGGCTAATTAATATTGATTGCCAGTGTGTAAATCCGCTGCAGTAAATATTGTTTCAACGATTATCTCTGGCTCCGGCTCTCGCATTTGGCACGCCGCGCTGATCGTGATGCGCAAAGCTGATTATTCTCATATTCGGCCAGCCGCGTTACATCTACTGCGCCCCGGCGCCCATGCAGTAATCATTGCCATTAAGAAGCTCTGCTGCTGCTAACCACCGATCCATACTGATGCTTAACCACCGCATCGGGGCTCGCATGTCCGAGTCTGCGCATATAGCGCTACTATGACATATAGTGTGTGTGGAGGGGGGGGGTATGTGTGTGTGCGTGCGTGTGTGTGGAGGGGGGGGG